GTCATCTCTCACATTGGTGTTGAAATTACGTAAGAATTTATTTTTATACCTAGAATTTCAAACTAGTGAGAGTCATCTCCCTGAACTCTATAAAGTAAATACATATTCTCCCCTCTTTAAAGATAAGGGAAAGCTGAAATAGGAGAGGATTTTTTTTTTTTTTTTTTTTTAGTTGGAGTTTCACTTTTGTTGCCTAACCTGGAGTGCAATAACACAATCCTGGCTCACTGCAACGTCCGCCTCCTAGGTTCAAGTGATTTTCCTGCCTCAGCCTCCCGAGTAGCTGGACTTACAGGTGCCCCCCACCACACCCAGATAATTTTTGTATTTTTAGTAGAGATGGGTTTTCACCATGTTGGCCAGGCTGGCTTCAAACTCCTGACCTCAAGTGGTCCACTGGCCTTGGCCTCCCAAACTGCTGGGGTTACAGGCGTGAGCCACCAGACCCCGCAGGAAATTTAAAGTTAGGCATGTAGAGACACAGCACCAACTATTTTAGCGTCTGGGATTTATGTTGGTACGAAACAGTATCCCAAACCTGGCAGTATGCCTGCAGACACATTACTTTCAGTGGCCAAGCTATGCTGTGGCATGGGGTTTGTGATGGCATGTGAGATGAGACGATGCCCGCAAGAGGCTTAAGGCACTGCTTCTCTACTATCACAGCAAAGTGAACCTTTAAAATATTATGTATTTAATAGCTGTATTTGGCAATACAACATATATAACATGTAAACTTTATCACATATGTATGAAATAACTTTTTATCACCAATTTTTAAGATCCATATTTTTCTTTATTGCTGAATTAATGAGGCACCAATAATCCCAATAACATAAGTCAGAATTCTAAAAATACCATAGAGACATAGTTAGTCAAGTATTCTCGCCTGCTGGAGACACAGAATATCAATAGCACCTTTTTTAAAAAAACACGAACATTATAAAATTGCAGAACATATCTTATATATATTCACATATAAAATCATGAGCCAATAATAATTCAAGTGGAAAAACTGATGTGTTTCATCAATATCGATAAATGATTTCCTGGGAGTTTGTTTCACATACTCGATGTCCCTCAGTACATTAGAAGTACTTCAGCTTTCTATTTGAAGTGGTTTCTTTAAAAATAACTTTTTTTTCTGCTCAGGATAACCAGGTATTATTACAGTATGCTTAATAACAAGGAATATGTCTTTGACCTCATGTATGACTCCCTAATTGCTACAAGAATAGATTAACTTTTCATGCACAAATTTAAAAAGATGTCAAATATTGGTAATATTGAATAGTTGTAGCTACTCTAAACTGAGTAAATTAGTGATAGTATAGACAAGCACTCTGTAATAGTTGAATTAAATGTTTTAAGTTCAGTTAATTACATGAATATTTGACCTACATATCAAATATCTGAATGCTGGAAATTATAGTTTGACCAAAGTACTAATTTTCACTCTAATGACTGGATGTTACATAGTCTCTATATAATGTCAATTATACTAAGTTATAACATAATTTCAAGTTACCTAATCTTTAATCAAAAAGTACCAGTTACTCCTAATGGAAACTGGCCCGACAAGAGGAGAAAAAAATCTTGCTTACAATGAAAGCTATGCAAAACGACAAGGACATTGTGGCTTTCCACCAGATATGGAATGTCTGCCAAGAAAATATTTTACGCAATCTTCAATCTAAATACTTTAAAAACAAATTAAGGTTAAAAGTTATTTTACTATGCATTTGAAATTATACACATGAAATACTACTTTGATAGACACTTCTCTCTTTTCAAATTCATTGTGATATGTATCTGGGAGTTACTCTGTCTATAATTAGCAAACTTTATCTTTCTATATTTCCTTATTTTTTAAGAGATGTGGTGTCGTGCTGTTACCCAGGCTGTAGTGCAGTGGTATGACCATGGCTCACTGCAGTCTCAACCTGCCGGGCTGAAGCAGTCCTCCCACCTCACCCTCCCGAGTAGCTGGGACTACAAATGCATACAACCACGTTATAGACAGGTTCTTGCTATGCTGCCCAGGCTGGTCTCGAACTTGGCCTTATTTCCTTCTATGATTAGTCTAGTTAGATCACTTGATTGACACAGTCCTATTCAAAGAACTATGAACAAAGCAAAAAATAAAGCTTATGTAACCCATATTAAGATTGGTGCCACTCTAAATTTTAAAAATCACATGGAAATGAAACACATGAAAAACTATCAGTATGTATGGTGTAAGAATTAGTGAGATTGGCACTTTTATTCACCAACTTAGTTAATTGCAGGTATTTGACATGTTTCACTGAGATATTTAATGATTACAGAATTGCCAAGAAATTTAACATCTGTCATGCATCTTATAAATTACAGATGGGTTTATATAACCAAAGTAATATACTGCTTCAGAGTTTTGACTATCTTAGTGTATTCTTTTAAAACTGCTCAATGTTTAGGGAAAAATACTGCGAAGAATGTGGGGCCAGTCATTAGCCTACTTTATGTATTAGGAGACTGTTGGTGAATTTTAGGGTCAAAAAATGTTAAACAGCACAGCCATTAGAGACAGTGAAAGATTTTATTTTATTTTTAACTTTCCTCCAAACACATCCTTTTCTGAAAAACATAAAAGCATGCACATCGATGACATTCTTACAGAGAAAAGCAACTAAGCTGTAAATCAATAACAACACAAACAAAAGTTTAAATGATATGTGAAAAGATTTACAGGTATAGGGCTCTTCGTATTAGAAAATAACTCACATCCATATGAATACAGGTTAAGGAGAAGCTTCTGACTTTCCAAACATTTTGATACAAATTTTTTTTCAACTACCATATTTTATAGACCTTTTGTGAGAAGATTAGTATAGTTTTAAGAAACGTAACATTCAAGTGATTTCATGTAGGTTAGGCTGCCTTGTTAAAATGAGTTAGAATCCACATAATTCCAATAGCATTGCCTCTCGAAGTTCAAATTTAGAGTATATCCATTATATTCAAAATATGTTAAATTCCTGTACTTAACAATGACATGGAATTGATCTAAATTTTACCTTAGAGGTAAGAGAAAATTACAATTCAGCATGACGAAACTTTTCTTAAGCTTTATCCATACCCCATTGATGATTAGGCCAACTGTATCCTGAGTGTACATGGATGTGTGAATATATATACATTCTAATGTATGCACACCAATTCACACCACATGACTCTTCAAAGACGTTGCTTGAAACAATTTATTCTCTGGCTTGGGAGAAGCAGTGTAACACAGTCACAAAATTTTCCCTTAATCATTTTTTAATTTTGTTTATCATGATCCAGTTGGTATGTTTCATGTGGGTCACTGATACATTTTTGCAACAAAATCCAGTAGCAGTAAGCAGAAATGTTAAAGGACTACGAGAAAATCCAAGTTTAAATTATAACATAAAAATAGAGTAGTTCACACTGAAAGGTCTTCTTCCCATGGTTCCATGGCTGAAATTCGTGATCTGGTTCCTGGAACACAACTCTTGCTCTAAGGTGATGTATATTAATGTGTAGCCCCATTAAAACTAATGGGAAATGAACAAATTCGCTCAGTCCTGATGAATCCAGTCTGTATTTCACTGGTTTGACAAGGTGAATTTCTTGACACAGACAAATGCAAAATGCCTCTGCAGTGGCGGGTGAAGCCCGCTGGCAAAGGCTGAGTGAGGTGACCTCTGACAGCAGCAGCACGGGCTGGCTCCGCATTTCCTCCGAGCACGTCTGCGTGCAAGCTGCTGAGCAGCACCGCTAAAGGGATCCATGGGTAAAGGACCAGAGCCTGTTGGGAATCCAGCCCGCTACAGAAACGTGACTTCTGGATTCATATTCTGTGAAATCAAAGAGACATAGGCAAAAGGCACATGCTAGTAAATCTAGGCAGAATGTCTGCAGGCTCCCATCACCTTAAATATCTTGTGAACTTGGGGTCCAACCAAGGTTCACACTGACTATTCTGATACTTAAAAAAGCCCGAAACCTTAATGTTTTCAAGCACTTATGGCACAGACATAGGGAAGTACTAACAGCGTAGCTTAAATCTTCAAAAAGCTGGGAAATTTAAAGTTCTGCTACAATGAATCAGAGTCACAATTTTAAACTTCATTCTCATATTTCATACCATTTTTGTGTGTACAGGGTGTGCAAATTAAGCAATTTCAATATATATTAGAAATTTAATTATTTTGCAAGTATGAGTAAAATCAGCTAATAATGCAATACAATAAAACCATGTGCTAAACAGAGCTTTTTCCCCATGAATATTTTTTACCCTTTCCATTTAACATTTTGACACTTTTTTTTTTTTTTTTTTTTTTTTTTGAGACCGAGTTTCACTCTTGTTGCCTAGGCTGGAGTGCAATGGCACGATCTTGGCTCACCATAACCTCCGTCTCCCAAGTTCAAGCAATTCTCCTGTCTCAGCTTCCCAAGTAGCTGGGATTATTGGCATATGCCACAAAGCCCAGCTGGTTTTGTATTTTTGGTAGAGACAGGGTTTCTCCATGTTGGTCGGGCTGGTCTTGAACTCCCGACCTCAGGTGATCCGCCCGACTTGGCCTCCCAAAGCCCTGGGATTACAGGCATGAACCACTGCGCCCAGCCGACACTTCTTAAATACAGTTTCTTTCACTGACTTGTAGAAATTAAGCAAAACATGAAATATTACCTAGCTGCAAGATACTAAGTACTTTAGTATGAGTTTGGAGCTGTCAAATCGTAATAAATTGAAAATAACAGAGTGAAATATGCTGCTAATTAATGCTCAAAAACGCAGCCATCTGACTTAACAAAATATACAATCCTCCTAGCCTTCTGAAGTTGTCGTTAGTGCATGGGAAATTGAAAGAACAGGAGGAACTCCATTTAGCTTGTACCCTTTCAGCAGCCCCAGTGCTAAGTCGTATCGCCATGTTTGTTTGCCCAAAACCATTGCATATCAGCTTTCGTCACAAATTCTATTTTATCCAATGTTCAACCAACAAGGCTTTATTTACACTCCTTATTAAATTCAGGAAACAATTTGATGTCATGTGCAGCTGCCAAAAATAGGCAATGCAGCACATCCCACTGTCTGGAGACAGCTACTTGTTTATGGTTTAATAGTAACCCACAGGCAGCCAAGTAGGGTTCCATATATCCACGTGTTCACATACAGCTTCCTTCCAGCCTCGGTCATAAGCATGCCTGTAGTCAAACCACTTAAGATCAACATTGATGGTAAAGTCTTCTTGATACTTAATTTTGAATGAACACTTTTCCCAGGAAATCTGTTTCGTCTTTCTGGATCTGTTGACTCATAAAATTCTATAAGCATCCTATGGCCAGAATGAAAAAAGTTTATATTTTAGTCACTTCAGTATTTCAATTAAAAAAAATATTAATTAGGTAGCTATTACATGCTGGAAAAGTTATGCAGGTCCTTGGAAAATAACGATGAATAAGAAAACATCCAGAAACGTGGTTTAATAGAAGTTTCTAGTCTTTCAAAATATCTTTAATATGTTCTATGATTAGCATATATGAATTATATATATATATAATATTTCAACAGCCATTTTATGAGGATGCTCTTTGTTTTTTAAACTTGTGATCTGTAAAGTTGTGCAGCGACCTAACCCACAAATGGCTCACAACCTGCTGCAGCTTCTCCTCCTTTTCACATAGAGCTCCTATTCCACCAGAAGTCAAAGACAGGACCAGCAGTTCTCAGCTGTCCCTCTGTATCCATGGGAGGCTGGTCCAAGGATACCCAGCAGATACCAAGATCAAAGGATGCTCACGTCCCTTATACGTGAATCAAATGGCATAGTATTTGAATAAACACATGCACATCCTCCCAAGTCCTCTTTTTTGAAACAGGGTCTCGCTCTGTTGCCCAGGCTGGAGTGTGGCACAATGATGACGCACTGCAGTCTCAACCTCCCAGCCTCAAGTGATCCTCCCACCTCGGCCTCCTGAGTAGCTGGGACTACAGATGCCTGCCTGGCTAATTTTTGTATTTTCTGTAGAGACAGGGTTTTGCCATGTTGCCCAGGCTGGTCTCGAGCTTCTAGACTCAAGCAGTTTGGCCACCTTAGCCTCCCAAAGTGCTGGGATTACAGGCACGAGCCACCACACCCAGCTCCCTTCTTTTCTGAATATTTTTGACCTGTGCTTGGTTGAATCCATGAATGTGGAATCCATGGATACGGACTGCTTACTGCACCTGGAGTGTCTCAAAGAAGCCTTTCTTCCCAAGGAATTATAAAGGCAGATAAAAGAAGGACAACAACATAGTCAATTCATTTTCCCATCTTACATAAAATCTGTAAAGTTATAATAGCAGAACATACCCAGTATAGTCATCTAAAACACAAAAATACAGAAAGGGAACATGGTTCTATTGCTTTATAAATCACATTCCCTAGTGACAGTCGTGGTATTAAAATGTTCAGACTCACTCTAAATACTTACAAATACTTATAAAATAAGTAGGACGTTAAATACATTAGTCTTTTTTCTGAAAACACGTTTTCACGTCGATACATGTAGATCTTACTTTTAAATTTCTTCCATGGACAAAGAGGTCCTAAATGCCTGGCTTCATAAATTATGTACAGTTGAGAGTCAATGAAAATAGAAACTTAAAATTTCATTGTTAACCTATTATACTTTTAATAATTTTCACCCGGTAAGGTTCATCCAGGAAGGTTAATTTAAAATATTTTACTGTAAAACAAGGAAAAGAACGGTGATATTTTCTTGAGAAGAAAATACATGTTAAGAGAATAAAACAATTGGGTAAAATTGTTGAATATAATTAATCACAGAAGACATTTTGGATATAACACTGTCAACTGCTCCTTCTTTCTGCAACAAATCTAACAGCATCACGTCCACCTGTGCATCAGCACAGTTCTCTGCCCCACCCTGGTTTTCGGCACACACTGGCCCAGCAGCTGGTCCTCACATGGTACCACACTTTATCTGACCTGAGAGGTAGATCCGGGCATCTGACACTGGAAAGTTTCTTTGTGTGTGTTGCTGTTTTTAATTTAATTTTATATGTTATCACATAGTATTGTCCAAGAAACACTATCAATGAAAGCAGATGGGCCCACTGTCACAAGTCCTTTCACAGTGATTTGTGTAAGTAAAATTTAAAACAGGATCAGATATGCCTACGATCTGACTTGAATCTATAAAATGTTTTCTTAGTGGTTTCAAATGGCTGACGGAACTGAAATCTAGTTGAACCAGTTTCTGAAGGGCTGGAACCGCTGTTACTCACTTGTCTTTGATTTCGAAACGTTCATGCAGCCATCTCCTCATATGTTCTTGTTCTTCCGGGACATCTTTTTTGTCGATCCGATCAATGTGAATATGAATTTTTGGAGATTCTTTGCAGAGAAATTCTAACAAAGAACAAAAGTATTTCATTTTTTTTTTACTGTTTTAGAACTCATGGTCAAATAAAGTAACATAATGAAAATAAGGTAATGGGACAAAAAAGTTGTAAAATGATGAAAAAGTACAGATTCCTTAGCAAAAATAAATAAAAGTTAAAAAAATAGGGATTATAAACTGGTGGTTGGGGTTTCAAGCTGAAGTCGAGGAGCATGTTATCATTTCTAAGTCAACTACAATGACATAAGTCATTTAGTTAAATCAACAGTACCAAATGTTATTTTTCATCCAACAACTTTTAGTGCTGTAGGCATCCCAGGAACAGGAAACTGGATCCTCCTCGAAGTCCATCCCCACATTTCTGCAGGGATCCCCAAATGCCTACCACCACCAGCACCCATCTTAGTGTGTCACCTGTCACCCCTTAGTGTGTCACCTGTCACAGTGACTGCTACTTCCCCACCAGACTGTGAACTCCACAGGGGCTGGGAGGAAGCCGGTCTGGTTGACGATGGTACTTCCTGACCTGGCACACAGCTGGGCACTCACAGGCGCCCGACAAGCCTCAACTCCTCGCTCCTCACCTGACACACAGCTTCTTGTCGCTCACTGCTACACAGCCACAACAAACTTTGGGGAGCAACTGCCCCTCCTAACTCGGCCATTGGTTTCTAATCATTGCCACACCTTGCTTTCCTGATACCTTGCCATATCTTAACATAGTATATAATTGGTAAAAGAACCAAGATTCTCACACGGATATGGCAAGCCCTGTAAACAACTGTAGTTCTTAAGACTTGATAATTTGAAAAAAGGAGATAGACTTTTTCAACTTAGGCTGCACAAGGGATGAGGCTATATTACTTATTCCAAGAAAGAACTCTGAGCCTAGAAACTCCCTTCTTGGTAAGTGGCTCTCTGTGGACAGGTAAGAATGTTAACATATTTAAGTTCCTTGGAGAACAAAGAAATATTCCTAAGATTTAAAAGCAGACTAAGGTAGGGAGGTATACTGAGAGGGAGGCTGAGACCTTTTACCTCAAATTGAAAATGTGTTCAAAGACGTGTTCTGAGAAATGATGAATCCTACACTCCACCGTCTGAAGAAGACTTGTCCTTGCTCTTTCAAACCCACACACTTCCTTTTTGCTAAGTACTCTCTGCAACTGCTCTTCCTGACTTCAGTGTCAAGCTCTTAGTAACATGCAGCATTTAGATGATCAAAAATACCCTGTATTCTTACATGCTTCCAGGAGTGACCTGGCTTTAATACATGTGCAAAACACTAAAAGATGATTTTCATTTTTCAGTATTTTTGTCTTAATTTTCCTACAGTACCATCATCTGAATAGTCAAACAACTGCTTAAAAAGTACTGTAAGCAGCAGAACTGTGCCCTGCGTTAAGAGCACACACGGTGGGGTCAGGTAGCCTGGGTCTTCACTTCTGCGGTAACATTGGGCAACTCTGCTGGCCTCTCTGTGCTAAGTGTCCAAGTTGATAAAGTAGGGATGGTAATAATAATAGCACTACTTGATAGGGTCATAAGAAGATTTCAAGCACCTGCAGGAGTACCTGGCACACAGCATGTACTACGTGTTAGCTATTACAGTGTTCCGGCATATTACTTCTCACCCTATCCTATTTCTATTGCTGACACATAAAAAGACACATTCCAACACTAATTTTCCTACCTTGACTGAACTATCTAAATCTCCACCTCAGCATTTCCGTAAGTAAGTAATATTTAGTCAACACTGCAGTTACCCGTTATTTCATGTGCTGGCATACAGACGGTAAGGAAGATGTAACACCTGCATTTCAAACGACAAACAGAAGGCTGTGCAGAGTAATGTGCTCAGGACACGGCCGTGCCTCGACTAAGACATCAGCTTTGGAAGAGGCACCGATGCTGTGAGAAAAGGACTCGGAAATGTGCATGGGTCCCTTTTGTTTCTCTTATTTACATGTGCTTTGGTGTTTACAGCATGCTTTTGAGTACACTAATTATTTCATTAGATCTCTGTAATTCTACGCAGGCAAGGGTTATTATCTCCTTGTAAGATGAGGGAACTAAGTCTCAGAGAGGACCAAGGCCCAGCGTAGTTGGGGTGGATCTGCAACAGCAGAGTCCCCGGGGTTCAGGACTCAGACAGGAACTATGAGAGGAGCATGTGATAAAGTGGAAAGCAGTTCAATGGCAAATGCCACTGAGGAGGGTTTAATACTGAAGGCAGGAAATAAGTGGCATAAAGGCTTCCTACAGATTTAATAAAGGACTTATATACCCACATTTGCAAAAACTATTTTAGGTGAAGCATAGTTCATATCACATGAGTCAAAATTACCCCATAGTACTTTAGGGAATCTAGGAAAAAATACTGTAAGGTCTAATTGTTTTTCTACCTATAAATCTCTAGTAGAGCACTGAAGTACATTGATATACTTGGGCAATACAGCAAGTCTTCCAAGTGTTCGCACAGGTCACAGGTCTACTTGCTGGAGAAACCAAGCCCCATTTGCTCTGAAGGCAACACAAAGAAAGTGGGAAGGGAGGCAGCCTCTGGCACCCCCAGCCCTCCCACACCAGTGCCCACTTTTCTTTTGAAAAACAAAACAAAACAAAAAAAACAAAAACAAACAAACAAACAAAAAACAGAACCCACTTCTAATAGGATGAAGCTGGGTAGATAACTGTTGTTAGTTCACATCCATGAACGCTATATAGCCTTTTTTTAAAAAAAAGTTTTGGAAGTATATATACTGACATGTACAGTTGTTCATGACCCACAAGTAAGAAAATGTGAAGAACAGAAGATACACAAACACACATACACACAATCTTATCTTTAAAAAAAATACATAAAGGCACATACTCTATCCAACATATAGACATTATAAAAAAGAGGATTTAAAGGAAAATATGAAGACTGTTAAACGGGTTGTATCTGGACAGGTGAACTTGTCGAGTTTTTTCCTTTCTCTTTTGGGTTATCTGTAATCCCCCCTTTCCTGATCCATATTTTTAAATATAAAAATATTACTAGAAATAGAAAATATGTATTTTATAATATGAAAATATTGATGGAAAAAACTAGGATCATATAGAATACTTAATAATCAAATGTCCTTAAGCACACAGTTTATTACCATATACTAGCCACTTCAGAAATGGGATTTTTAAAAAATATATATATTTTATTGTGTTTTAGCTTTTGGGATACATGTGAAGAACATGCAAGATTGTTGCATAGGTACATACATGGCAATGTGGTTTGCTGCCTTCCTCCCCTTCACCTATATCTGGCATTTCTCCCCATGTTATCCCTCCTAACTCCCCCATCCCCCACTGTCCCTCCCTTCGTTCCCTCAAAAAACCTCAGTGTGTGATGCTCCCCGCCCTGTGTCCATGTGTTCTCATTGTTCAACACCCACCTATGAGTGAGAACATGTGGTGTTTGATTTTCTGTTCTTATGTCAGTTTGCTGAGAATGATGGTTTCCAGGTTCATCCGTGGCCCTACAAAGGACATAAACTCATTTTTTGTGGCTGCATAGTATTCCATGGTGTGTATGTGCCACATTTTCCCTGGCCAGTCTATCATAGATGGGCATTTGGGTTGGTTCCAAGTCTTTGCTATTGTAAACAGGGCTGCAACGAACATTCGTGTGCATGTGTCCTTAAAATAGAACAATTTATAATCCTTTGGATATATACCCAGTAATGGGATTGCTGGGTCAAATGAAATTTCTATTTCTAGGTCCTTGAGGAATTGCCACACTGTCTTCTACAATGGTTGAACTAATTTACACTCGCACCGACAGTGTAAAAGTGTTCCTATTTCTCCACATCCTCTCCAACATCTGTTGTCTCCAGATTTTTTAATGATCATCATTCTAACTGGCATGAGATGGTATCTCAGTGTGGTTTTGATTTGCATTTTTCTAATGACCAGTGATGATGAGCACTTTTTCATATGTTTGTTGGCATCATATATGTCTTGTTTTGAAAAGTGTCCATTCATAACTGTCACCTACTATTGAATGGGTTTGTTTGTTTGTTTTAATTGTAAATCTGTTTTAGTTCTTTGTAGATTCTGGATATTAGCTCTTTGTCAAATAGGTAGAATGCAAAAATTTTTTCCCATTCTGTTGGTTGCTGATGCACTCTAATGATTGTTTCTTTTGCTGTGCAGAAGCTCTGGAATTTAATTAGATCCCATTTGTCTATTTTGGCTTTCGATGCCAATGCTTTTGGTGTTTCAGTCATGAAGTCCTTGCCTGTGCCTATGTCTTGAATGGTTTTGCCTAGATTTTCTTCTAGGGTTTATATGATGTTAGGTCTTATGTTTAAGTCTTTAATCCATCTGTAGTTAATTTTAGGGTAAGGTGTCAGAAGGGGTCCAGTTTCTGCTTTCTGCACATAGCTAGCCAGTTCGCCCAACACCATTTATTAAACAGGGAATCCTTTCCCCATTGCTTGTTTGTCAGGTTTGTCAAATATCAGATGGTTGTAGATGTGTGGCATTGCCTCTGAGGCCTCTGTTCTGTTCCATTGGTCTGTATCTCTGTTTTGGTACCAGGACCATGCTGTTTTCATTACTGTAGCCTTGTAGTATAATTTGAAGTCAGGTAGTGTGATGCCTCCAGCTTTGTTCTTTTTGCTTAGAATTAACTTGGCTATGCAGGCTCTCTTTTGGTTCCATATGAAGTTTAAGGTGGTTTTTTTCCAGTTCTGTGAAGAATGTCGTGGTAGCTTGATGGGGATAGTGTGGATTCTATACATTACTTTGGGCGGTATGGCCATTTTCATGATATTGATTCTTTGTAACCATGAGGATGGAATGTTTCTCCATCTGTTTGTGTCCTCTTTTATTTTGTTGAGCAGTGGTTTGTAGCTCTCCTTGAAGAGTTCCTTTACATTCTTTGTTAGCTATATTCCTAGGTACTTTATTCTCTTTGTAGCAATTGTGAATGGCAGTTTGTTCTTGATTTGGCTCTCTTTAATTCCGTTATTGGTGTATAGGAATGCTTGTGATTTTTGCATATTGATTTTATATCCTGAGACTTTGCTGAAGTTGCTTATCAGTTTCAGGAGATTTTGGGCTGAGACGATGGGGTCTTCTAAATATACAATCATGTCATCTGCAAATAGAGACAATTTGACTTCTTCCTTTTCTAACTGAATACCCTTTATTTCTTTTTCTTGCCTGATTGCTCTGGCTAGAACTTCCAGTACTATATTGAATAGGAGTGGTGAGAGAGGGCATCCTTGTCTAGTGCCAGATTTCAAAGGGAATGCTTCCAGTTTTTGCCCATTCAGTATGATATTGACTGTGGGTTTGTCATAAATAGTTTTTATTATTTTGAGATATGTTCCATCAATACCTAGTTTATTGAGAGTTTTTAGCATAAAGGGCTGTTGAATTCTGTCAAAGGTCTTCTCTGCATCTACTGAGATAATCAAGGGGTTTTTGTCTTTGGTTGTGTTTATGTGGTGAATTACATTTATAGACTTGCATATGTTGAACCAGCCTTGCATCCCCTGGGATGAAGCCTACTTGATTGTAATGGATAAGCTTTTCGATGTGCTGTTGCAATCGGTTTGCCAGTATTTTATTGAAGGTTTTTGCATCTATGTTCATCATGGATATTGGCCTGAAGTTTTCTTTTCTTGTTGAGTCTCTGCCGGGTTTGGGTATCAGGAAGAGATGGGTATGACAAGAACCAGTGAACCATGATAGAATGCTCAGGTGGCTTTGATTTATACCTCCTTTAAAATGAAACTTACATCATAAAACGGGAAGGACAAGGGACACTACTGGCTGCCTATCTCTTCAACGTGGGGCTGCATTAAGGTGACAGCAAGAATTCCTATAGAGTTTGTCAGGACTGTAGCTCCTCCAGCTTCCCAGCGCTCACCTGCAGAGCATCCTGGCAGCAGCGTGGAGTGCAGCAGAGGACCTGCATGTCCCGCAGCCACTGCAGCTAATTCCCCCAGAATGCTTTGAGAAACACCAGGTCAGGGCATATCAACAACCTGGCAACTTCATGAAAAAAAATTATTTCTTAATTGCACCATAAACTGTGAATATTAAATAACTCACTATGTAGAGAGATAATATTTAATACTAATGAAATCTGGCTGCAAAGTACTTAAAATATTCCAAGTTACAGAATTTTATTGCTAACACAACATATCCGATTTCATAAGTTAAAGTGACTCTTAATCTATAGATTATAATCAGACCACAACACCCATCAATTCATTTAAACAACTGAAAGCAGGGCTGAGCCAGTGACAGAAAACAAAACAACAATGAAAGTAGGGTTTTTCAAGCTACCAGTTAAAAACAACACATTAGAAGAAAAAATGTGTTATGATTATGTCTTATGTACACGGGTAGACGTGTAGAATAATGTCGCAGAAGTGGGAATGCTAACAATGTGAATGAATTTGTGCATCTGAGACATTTCCAAAGCAACTTATACAAAGGTTATACTATATTACACTCTTAACAGCAAAGTTATAAAGATGCCTGTTAATACTTTAATCTCACCCACTGAGCCTATGATCAAACCTTGGGATATTTCCCAATCTAATGGATTAAAAAATTCAGGTATCTCCTGTAGTTTTAATTTGCACTTACCTTATTATGAATGAGGTTAAACATTTTTTGTGAAATGTCTTTTCTCGTCCTTTACCCATTTTTTTTCAAGTCATCAGCCATCCTCTTATCAATTTGTAAGTGCACTTTATACATGAAGGAAATGACCCCTTTTCTATTATCTAAGCTGAAAATATTTTCCTAGTTTGTCTTTCAGTCCTGATTTTACTCTGGTGTATTTTTCCTTTAATTCAGAAACACTTTATCCTTAATTGACTGAAGTGATAAGATTTTATTTTCTACATGGTATCTAGGTGTGACAGAAAGGTCACCCTTTCAAAAGGAGAGACGCTTTGTAATGAATACAAGTAGGCAGTGATCACCCCAAAGCGACAGTCGGCTCACATGTAGCAGAGGAGAAGCAAGGCAGTGGGAGGGTGGAAGTAGGCAGTGAAACTCAAAAGAGGGTTTCTGCTTTCTCAAGGCACTTGCGATGCAGCTGGGAAGAGAGGGACTGAGCCCTGGGTTAAGTGCCGGCACTTAGCACATGCAGTCAGTGCTACAGCAATGCTGTGAGAGCAGGGCAGGAGAATGCACACCGCCAGTGCTATGCTGGGAAAGGCAGCATCTGACACTCTGAGGGAACAGCAGCCTTGGGTGAGGGCAACAAAAGTCTTTGACTATAGTATATGCATGGGGCGCAGGAGGCTCCGTCAGCCAGGTTCACCACAGCTGAGGCTTCAGGAAGCCAAGGCAAGGCGGAGCTCAGGGCTGAAATGAGTCCTTGGACAGCAGGCTACGGAGGCCGGCATTCCCCTTGACCTCTGTTAAATCGAGGAGTTCTTGGACAGGAGGGGACATGATAAGAGCAGCAGCATTTAAACAAGGTTATCATGGGAAGTCTAGCTGTTTTTCATTGGTTAGAATCACTTGTTTAATCTTATTTTGTTTAATTAACTAATGACAACTTTGCTGAATAATTGTTTTCAAATGTAAAAATAGGTAAATAATTCCTTTGATAGTTTAAAAGAGAAAAATATTAAAATGCCACCTTTTCTAAGAAAGGATGGTAGAATAAGAATACATGCTTAAATTTGCACATACAATGCACAACGAATTAAGAAAAGTGATTACCGCTAGGAAGGAGAAGGCAAGGCCAGGTGCCAGGGTGGAAAGCCAGGAAGACACTTCACCGTGTACTTCGTAGTTTTCACATTTAAACTGAGGCATTAGGTATTCCAAAAATTTACATTTAAAATGAAAAATACCTTCACTTCCTACTTTAGTTACTGTATGTCATACCCAAAAATGAGAGCAATTATCTTTCAGATATAACTAATTCAGATTTTTTTCCTTTCGCCGTAACTGATTTTTATGCTAGCTAGCCCCCCGGGCCTCACTCCTGCAGCCTCCCTCCCTAACTTTCCGTGGTAGGCAGCTGCTGTCTCTCTCAGAGAGCTTTTCTTCGAAAACCTGAGTGAGCCTCATCTTATCATTATTTAAGGTTGACCTTTCTGTCGCACCCAGAGTAATCATTTTACAACTATACTCTCACTGCACTTGGAAAACTCCCTGACATCCAAAGAATACACACCGTGTTAGATAATGTAATGGTGCACAGTGCCACATCTAGAAGGCCCATGTGTAAGGTTGGGAAGAATAATTTCTATCCTTGCTCACTTCTCAATGATTTAATAGTGTCTACTTTTATAAATGTTTCATTGTAGCTAAAAATATCATTCCACGAAATTTCCAAGGCACATCAACTTCAGAAGAATGCCTCAGGAGAGGGTTTCCATGTAAAACGTGTTGGTGGCTCCTATTTTGGGCATCTGCCTTCAGTAGACCCTCCTGATACAAGCACACTGACAGGCGTGTTAGCTTAACCCCAAACAGCTGACAAGGTACAAATACAAAACTCATAAAATTCTATTTTTTCCTGGTTATATCTAACAATCGCTCAAAGGTTCTTAAAACTCAGCATGTTTAAAAAAAAAAAGTCACACTTAGCAGTATTTCTTCTTGTCACAATGACACCAAATGTCATAAATATTGTATTAAAAACACCGTGAAAAGGGCAGCACTGATGATAATGAGCACCTCAGTACTGCCGGGGACGTGCTCCTCAAGTCTTCTTCTCCTTTATGGAGCTTTCCATTTGTATGTGTGAATGATGAATGACAATTGATGCGTCCATAGGACTAGTACGACAGCCAAGAAACATCAAACTTGGCAGGACTAACGAAAATTCAACTGTTACATCTTAATAACATCTTGAAAAATATACCTGGTAAATGTAATGAAGGAAAAAAGCACACTTAACCTACTGTGTAAAGCTGAATTAATTCTACATAAGCATAGGCACCGTATGTGTCACGTGGCAGGCGTTTCAGGTGCACGGACACACTTACCCGTCATGGTCGGTGCCTCTCTTTGCTGCCCTCCATCGTCCTTCCCTTCGTAAACCACCGTCACATCATAAATTGCATCTAAATACTTCTTCATGCAATCAAAAGCAACGTGAGTTGCCTTTATCCGTGGCGTTAGCACATATTTCAATACTGGAAGGCCTAGAGGAGAAGTCAATCCAGTGTGGCCAGAAATTAGTTACAAAACACCTCCACCATAAAACATATTAACATCTAAATTATTTTCAAACTTCCTCAAATAACACACCAGAATCAATTAATGCCATCACCTCATATCTTTAGAGCTTTAAGTTTAGCAAGCACTCACACTTGCCTTTTTTTGTTTAAATCAATATTCATTTGATATATATTGATCAAAGATCTACATGTACAAGTCACTGTGTTAGAAGTTTGTGGCCTATTGGAAACCCTTCAATCTAGTAAAGCCTGGCAAGGGCAAATATTAGTATCCTCGCTTTTGGCCACTGAACAAAGGTGGTAGCATCTTGCCTACCGTTACTTGAGATTTCCCAGAAATAGTCACACAGCACATGGCCTCCTGTGTCCGGCTTCTTTCACTCAGCCTGGAGCTGAGGTGCATCTGTGTGGCTGCAGATGCCAGTGCTCCATTCCTCTTCATGGCCGAGTAATATTTATGGACATTTGGGTTGCCTCCATTCTTTGGCTACTATCAGTAACACTGCTATGAACAAGCTTTTGTATCAACATAAGACTTCCTTTCTCTTGGGTATATCTGATGTATTTTTAAAAGCGTCTTTAGCTGGAGAACTACTGCAATTATCCAGAACAAATCACATTCATTAGGTTCCTACTGGGGTTAAGGATTTGTTTTTCTCTTCTTTCTATATTACCTCCCTTTTCCTTGACTAAAATATTTACTGACAATTTAACAGAAAACTGTAGCTCTCAATAAGTGACATGAAAATAGATTCCAAAAAACTAGTCTAGATTTTCTACTGGCCCCTCTCCAAGGAAAGTAGCTGAGTAAGGAAGAACAGCTATTACGTGGTGGGACTGCCTCACACAACAATTTTTAAAATGCAGGGTGGTGTGGGAAAGAAAGAGATTCCCACAACCACATATCCGACTTCAGTCCCCAGGGCAGAAGCAGTTAAATTTATTCACAAACTTGTAACAGAAATCTCAACAGCATACCAAGCTGGGAAGCATCTACTTGTCAATCAACCTAGTTAACACTTTTTTTGCTACTGGAGCTCATCTAACTTGATTAAATCCAAAGTTTCAAAATATCACTAAGAACAACTAGTTACTAAAATCCAAGTAAGTTAGTAAGAAAATAAAGAAAGGTAGTATTTTTAAAACACAAAAGAAAATGAATTATCATACAAGTCTGAAAAATAAATAGCTTTGTGACCTGAATCATAGCCATTAACAACATGTAAAAAAAAAAAAAAAAAAAAAAAAAAAAAAAAACTAAAAAAAATCTTCTAATTAAGGAATACACTGGGAATGGCTTTAATTATTCCAGAAATTTTCTGCATCAAATTCTCTGTATCAAATCCAAATACTTCAAAGTCAAGGTTTTAGTATCCAGCTCCTGAAAAGGAACAGCCAATGAAGATGAAGAAAAGCAAGGGGACTGTGGTGGTGCCAAAGGTGTCCCCAGAGGATGACAGCTCAGGAAGAGTGAAGTGCTCAGCCGCGTTCGCTGGAAGACACAGGCCCAGAACCGAGACGTGACTCCTGGGCACAATGGAGGGTCCATGATACCTTTATCAGTGTTTTCAGTGCAGTGGTGGGAAGTGAAGTTTCACTATTGTGAAACTATAAACATGTAAGTTAGACGTTAATGAGGCAATAAAAAAACTTAAACAGATAGAGTACATGGTAGACTGTCTTGAGAGAGAAGATACTCTCAGAATGTAAAAATATTACTCGTACTTCAAGGTTTTTTTAAATCACACATATCTGATTGGTGAAAGCTTCAGGACAAAGAGCATGCTGGAGATACGTCGAGGTGGAGTATGCAACACACAAAGAGGGGCAGAAGGACTTGTGAGCAAAGGTACAGAGCAGGGACCCGGGAGGCCTCTGGGGCACGTGTGCAGAGCAGGAGGGGCTAAGAGTGACAAGCACACCAGGTCACACTGCTGCGAGCTTCAGAATAATAGGCTAGGCACATCCACTGATCTGTAGGAGTGCCAGGATTGGAGGCCGAAGAGTAGACTGAATGTAGGTGTGAAGAGTAACAGTTCCAGCTTCAGAAAGAGTTTAGGACATTAGGTCACAAAGTGACAAAATGCTGAATTAGCACTGGGGCAGTGAAAACTGAAAAGATCAAATGTAATCAAGTTATGTTTCAAACACCAAATATATACTGAACCAGCAACTGACTGAATGTGGTCTAAGGGAAAAGGAGGAAAAAATAAGCAGGCTTCTGCTCCAGAAGGCATAGATAAAGCCACGCCGTAACTAGAAGGGGAGTGAATGACCAGGAGGAAGGCATGCAGAGCATGCCCATGTGCACGCACCTGTCACGCGGAGAGAGAAGAGGGAGGGCGGGAGGCAGAGAAAGAAAGAGAACGCGGAGCTGGGCGCGGTGGCACACGTACGTCTGTAGTCCCAACTCCTCAGAACTGCTCTAGCCTGGGGGTTGGTTGGGAGGGCAGAGAAGGAAGAGAAGGAGGGAAGAGAAGAAAGCAGAAGAGAACGAGGGAGGGAAGGAAGCAAGGGAGGGAGGGAGAGAAAGGAAAAGAAGGCAGGGAGAGAGAAAGGAAGACAGAGGCGGGGAGAGAGGGGTTCACACTGGGCATGACGAGCTGACGTAATCAGACATTCTAGAAGTAGTTGGAAATATGTCGGTAAAATGGCAAGAAACCAGAGATAAGCATGTGGAAATCATGTGAATGGATAAGATGACTGAAGCGATGGCCGCAGCTGAGAATAGCAAAGGGTAGAAGATGAAAAGGCCAGAAATACAGACTTAGGAAACATCCACATTAAAAAAAGATAATAACAGGAAATAGGACAAGTCAGGAAAAAAAGAAGAGAAAAACCAGTGTAATACAAAAACCAAGGAAAGAATGTTTAAAGGAAGAAAAGGTGATAGCTATCTTTATAAAGAAAAATTATACTCCATTGTTTATTTCTACAATAAATTAAAATTGCTTCCTGGTTATAAAATAAAGTTATAAATAATGTCAGAAGTTACATGAAAGTTAACAAATACGACAACTGACACAAATGATAGGATGCTTCGGAGGTCACTGGTAAGTTAGAGGTGGGACACATTTCTGGAGAGTAGATGGAGTCAAATACAAGAAAGGAAGGAAACAGGCCCATTCTTCTCTTTGCACAGGTGTAGACTTGGTTATGTCCGAACTGGACTACGTGCAAGCTGGGGAGAAACCCCAGCAGAGAAGTAAGGCAGATGACTGAGGCAGTGATGGAGACGGCACAGATGGCATCTAGAGCTTACCAACTGTTGAAGCCGCCATGTCTAAGACAAAAATTTTCCTCCAAAGTTCTCTTCTTAGACATGTTAGATTCAGCAGTTTCTTCTAAAGAAATCCAAGTCAAGAGAGTCCACATTAAGGTTTTGAAATCAAAAGGGATATTGGGTGTACTCTTTCCAGAGAAACGTAACTTTCTAAAGGCAAACAATTCCTTGAATGTGAGGAGAAAAAAAAAAATCCATGAAAACCATAAGAGGTAGTAAGAAGGAGAAAAATAAAAGAACTGTTAAATATGGACTTGGCTCAGCTAAAATTAAATGGCATGGCTTGGCTGTAGAGGGCAGTCAGCATTATCTTACGATGTTCTCCATTGAGAAGGAAGGGAGAAAACAGACAGGGCTGCCAAGGGCTGAGGAAAGGCAGGGCAGGAACAGAACAGCTCAGCATCGGGGTGGGCCGGCCCCAGGACTTGGGCAAGCAAGAGCTACAGAAGGCCCTGAAAGCTGCAGAAGGGCCAACAAAAGAGAGGTTAGAAATGACCCAAAAACAGAGGTTCAGAGTGAGTGAGGAGGAGGTGGAACCGAGTCAGCTGCATGCTGTGGGCGACCCAGTGCCATTTCCAGACACACTTCAAGGTGGTTGAAGAGGGCATTCAGCCAAGCACAGGAAACCAGTATGGGAGAACAGGATCCCCTGACAGCCTCCACAAAGGACGGCAGCCCTGTCAACACCTTGGTTTCAGCTGGGTGAGACCCAGTTCAGACTGCTCAACTCTAAGAGAATAAATCTCTGGTGTTTTAAGCCACCAAGTTTGTGGCACTTCCTGAGAACAGCCATAGGAAGCAAACATACCTTCTTACACTTCAGGCAGAGGGTGGGAGTGCCATCACCCCCCACAGCTGAGCGCTAGTCTTTTTGCTTGCTATGCTTTCAGAAGTTGGCTTCAAGTATTCATTCGATTTCTATTTCCTTGATTATGAGAAAGCATAAACATTTGTTCAAGTGTATGGGTCTCATTTGTATGTCTTGAATTTCTGATTCATGCCCTTTTCCCTTTTTTTCTAGTTTATGTCTTTTCTCACTAATTATAATATACTAACTAGGAATGACTATATTATAAAATCTTAGTAGCTTACCATTTGCCAACTAAATTTGTTCATATAATGCTTTCGACATCATAATTTTTATTCAGTTAGGTCAACAAAGAAAAAAAATGCTCTGGAGCTTATTCCTTTGTTTTCACATTCTGAAAGGACTCTCAAATGTCTACGATTGCCAGTGTTATTCATAGAATGAAAGCTAAGTTTCATAAATCTGAAGTGACAGGTCTGAAGTAACAGATTAGCTTTGATTCTATGAATAACATGAAAATTCTAGGTATCTGGTTTGCCGTTATAGACACATCACTAAATTTCTGTTTTCTATTATAAGAGTTTAAAAAGCTTAAGTATGTCACCTTCACTAGCTACTATGGTTTTAACCACCGCATTAAAAAAAAAACAAACAAAAAAAACAACACTATAGGGGCTCACTTTAATGAGTTCAGGAGGCAGATTAAGATACATTTAATTCCAAATTCCTTACTAACCTTTGCAAAGCCAAATATCTAAAACGATTCTAATTAGTTAAACCCTTTGTATAGCTGAGGAGAGTTGGAATATTACCGCAGGCCTGCACTTCTCCAGGAGCCCCTATGAACAGCTTCTTCCTCCATGTCTAAGTTTCCTACAAGAGGTATGCAACTGCTACCAGTTTATTCTTTTTGTGAATGAAACGTAGGCAAAAAAACTGAATGACAGAGTCACCAAAACAAGAACTATGAGTGTACATGTGGAAGGATGAAGTCTATCTTCCACATGCTGAGTTTGAGACATCCCTTTGGGCCAGTCAGGTGAAGCTCTCTAGTGGACAACTGCAGATGGTTGTAGAGTTAGGCAGAGAGAGATGGAGGGGAGGAAGCTTCTGCGAGTCATCAGCAGTCAAGTAAACAGTGGCTAATGCCATGGATTTACAGGAAGACCACCATGAGAAACAAAAAAAGTGAAATTAATTAAAGACCAAATCCTAACATTGGAAATAACACATGACGCAGGGAAAGATGAAGCAGGAGGCTGGAAAGGAAGCTACGAAATAATCACTAGAGAGATGGGAGGAGAATGGAGAACAGCCCCACTGAAGCCAGGGAGAGAATTTCCAGTCAGACCACAACAAATCGAGAGCAGAGAGAGAACTGGAAAAAGTGCTTACAACAAAGGTAGACTACAGAGTCAGAAGGCTTTGGCCGTTAAGGAAAGGGGGTAAAGTGAGTGCTAGGAAGAGGAAAACAGAAATTTGAGAGAGGGGGTTCTTGTTCTGTTCTGTTTAATAAATGTGAAAAGGGCAACTGAGAGAACGGCATTGCCACAGAGTAACCGCAAGGACAGAACGTGGTCTCCACACCGGGCAGAGGAAGCGGTGGAAATCAAAAGGGAGGTGGCAGGTTGGGAGACACACTGAGCCCTTGTATTCTGAACCACTCCTTAATCAGGACATGTGTTTAAAAACACACTAGCCTTTTTATTTGTTTGTTTTTACACAGAGTTTCACTCTTGTTGCCCAGGCTAGAGCACAATGGCGCGATCTCGGCTCACTGCAACCTCCGTCTCCTGGGTTCAAGCAACTCTCCTGCCTCATCCTCCCGAGCAGCTAGGATTACAGGCATGTGCCACCACACCCGGCTGATTTTTTGGACTTTTAGTAAAGACAGGGTTTCTCCCTGTTGGTCAGGCTGGTCTCAAACTCCTGATCTCTGGTGATCCACCCACCTCGGCCTCCTGAAGTGCTGGGATTACAGGCGTGAGCCACTGTACCCAGCCCAACTAACATTTTTTAAAAGTACTGTTACAAATGATGTCAGATACATATGACACATCTTCTCTTGTAAGCACCTTGTAAAAGATTCCCCTTATTTTAATTAAACCCAAATTAAATAAAATTAAAAATTAATTTGATTCACTCGTCATACGTTGAATGCTCCACATCTACATTGGTAGGAGCCAGCACACTGGAAAGAACAGATAAAGAACTTTACCATGATTACAGAAAGTTCCATTAGATAGCACTGTCATAAGCCCTGGCATAATGGCACAAACAAGGTATTTGCTCAGTTAGTGTCTGACAATCAACATGGAGGTCACATACTAAACCACAGTTAAGCTTCAAAGACACCTCTGAGAACACAGCATAGCCACTGTTTTCTGTATACTGCCCAATTTGGCTAAACTGCATAGCTTATCGGTTGTATCAATTATCCAATTTTCTAAAATACGGATATGAAGAACGTTACTCTTGTTGAGGATATTAATAGCTTCCAAGCACTGTCAGCCAACTTTGTGTAAGTTCTCCATCAGGAGCCCGACGTATTTCCTAATTGAATTCTCACACAGATTTAGATCTACGTATAAGGCATATGTTCTTTGAGGAGATGAAGAAACACGCTCAGCAACATTACACACCTTGCAAGTTGCAACCACAAAGCTAATAAAAGTCAGAGTTTGGACTCCAACGTAGGTCTGTCAACTTACGAAACAGAAACTCCATCACACATAACCCCCCACTGTAGAAAAAGCCTCCATCTACATAATCATGTACTTAGATTTTAAATAAATCCATGGCACAGAAATATGTATCATAACAGGTACTTAAACTTAATTTCTCAGATATATGTAATAACAGCATGCAAATGAATTAAGGAGAAGAAACTTCATTTCCTAAGAGATAATACCTACATTAATTGAAGAAATGAATATATTCATTCAATTGTAAAACAAAACTATCTTTTCTGAGAAGAAAAACTAAAAATGTTACTATCTTTAAAAATTATTTCTTCAAACACTGTCAAATTTTTACTTACCACGTTGGGCAGCAAATGCCTGACTAGATGAAATGACTTTTGTTTGTTCTGGATTATACCTTGTACCTTCTGGAAAAATCACAAGATACATCTGTGGGAAATAAAGGAAATTTGGTTTATTTTGTGTAAGCTTTGTTGTTACTGTTGTTAACTTAAAAAGGCTAAGCCTATTAATGCTAAGAAAGTATTTCCTGCAGTAAGAGAAAATGTCTATTCACTTACATGTGACCTTTATTTCAAGGACAGCAACCAAAATGCAACAATTCAATTAACTTTGAACATAGCGTAGACTATATTTTAAATGCAGTGCTACATTCATTGGTAGGTCAGCCACGAAGAATCTAAAAACATTTTTAATTGCATGCTAATAGTTCACTAATTAAAAATAGGTCATGAAATGCAGACTCATACAAAACCTCAATTACTGAGTTTTTTCCTTGTCAAGATCCTCTAATATGTCATTTTTAGAAGTACACATTTTAGAAATCAGTATCCTTAAGTACCAACACTAAAAAGTACCTCATTTGAGAAAACTCATATACTAAATTTCTACCAGGTAAAAGGTTCTGAGTGTTCACATTCAACAGCTTCACACAGAATTCCTATTTTACACAGCTCCTTTAGTGCATTAAATTTTAAATTTTTTCTTTATAAAGAAACTTATTTGTTATGTAAACTGAAACTAAAATAATATAAAGAATATCAAGCTGGGTGTTTAGTAAGTAATCAATTAATCTAAGTTTTTACACTTACCTGCTTGGGAAAGTAAAAACAGAAACATTAAAATTATACAGCAAAACTCCTAAGTTTAAGAACTGAGTTACAAAAACTACACTAATAACTTTGACAGCCAGAAGACAAAATTAACATACTCATAGCAAATCTTTTAAAATACAAACAGAATATAGGAAGTAAGACAGGAGCTGATGAGAGAAAACTGTGTTCACTGGGTCCATTCCTGCCAGATCTCAGACGCTGCTCAGACAATACTGTCCACCTTTGTACATATCTCATTCAGTCCTCATCGAGATGACTATGATTATAAAGCTCCTACTTAAAAACCTATGTGGGACTGAAATTTTTCTTTAGATACTGGTATAATGGTATCTGAAAATTATGCATTTTCAGCTTCCATGCAATTATGCATGTTTTTTATTCATTCATGTAACAGTCTTCAGAACCCATGCCTAACTTAGAAATTAACAGATTATATTACATATCTTTATATTTCATAATGAAGTCTGATCAGATCTGTTAAGAAAATGTTAAAAATGGGTAAAATTAGGAAAAAATGCAGAATTCCTTATTATATTTAAGCAACAGGAAGACAAATATTAAAGCCAGTTCTAAGAACCACACATTTATTTTCACAAAAAATGTATTTTCTATCAGTTAAGGTTTACATTCAAACCCATGAAAGCAACTCAATCATTTATAAATAAAACGATTATTTCAAAGGTTAATAATAACTCATATGGTATTATCTGCTGTGTCTTAGATGTTTAATTTAAAACACTGACAGCAAGAAAGCAAGAATGCATTCACAACTAATTCAGAAACGATTTCTTATATATTCGTTATGTTCCAGGAACTACATACAAGATAACAACACATGAGGTCCTTCCCTTCATGGTCTTCGTAGACAAGTGAAGAAAAGAAACACATTAAACAGATAAATTAAAACCTGTAATTACATATCATGATATGATTGCAAAGAAAAAGAACAAGGCGTCATGAAGAAAAATGATGAGAGGGAATTTAGGGAGGGTAACGGGGCTAGGACCTAAAGAATGTGTAAAAGAATGAGTGCTTTTCCCTAAAGATGAGGAATATGGAAGGTATTTCCCTCACACCAGTTCTAGTCAAGGCTGTACTAGGAGGTCTAGACAGAAAATTTAGCAAGAAAAAATAAAAGTCATTAAGATTAAAAAGGACAAAGTAAAATTGTTATTTCTATAACAATGACATAATTGTTTATGTAGGACATCCTAAGAAATACATATTTTTAAGTTACTAGATAATAAGTAAGTCAATTATATGCCTAGATTAACAATCAGAAACTTAAAAAAAATTTAAATGCCACCTACAATAGCATCAAAAACTAAAATTCTTAGGGAATATACCTGGCAAAACGTGTGCAAACATGTACATTAAACTACAAAACACACTGAGATAAACAAAGAAGACCTAAGTAAACAAATGTAGGCTATGTTCATGAATCCAAAGATTCAATCCTGCTAAATCAATTCTTCCCAAATTCATCTATACATTCAATACAAAAGCCCACAAACTTTGGGAAGAAATTGTCAAGCTAATTCTGTAATTCATATAGAAATGCAAAGAACCTAAAATAGCCAAAACTACTTTGAAAAGACAGAACAAACTTAGAAGACAACTACAGTATTTCAAAACTTACTATAAAGCGAGTTGTATTAAGACAGTATGGTACTGGCATAAGGAAACACACATAGATCAATGTAACAGAAAAAATGGTCCACTGATCTAGGGATAATACACACATTTATATTCAGTCTATTTATTTCAAACGTTGGGGGAAAATAATCTTTTCTACAGAAAGATTCTCTCATTTTACAGTAATGGTTATCTATATTTAAAAAATTAATTAGAAATACATCCTAGACCTAAATGTAAAAGCAAACCTCTCAAATTTCCAGAAGAAAACACAGGAGAAAATCTTAGCAACCTTGAGTTTGGCAAGGACTTCTTAAATAGGATACAAAAAGCAGAAATTATGAGAGAAAAAAATAAGCTTAAAAGTATGTTCTTCAAAAGATACATATAAATTTATAAAAAAAAATTTAAATGTTCTCAAAAAAGACACTATTTATAAATTGAAAAAGGCAAGTCACAGATGCAAAAAACTTGCAAAGGAACACTCTTAGGAGTGACAGGCTCCCCTCATTTGATCATGCTTCACTTTACTTAGCCTCACAGAAACTACATTTTTCCATTTGAAGGTTTGTGACAACCCTGCATCAAGCATCTATTGGTGCCATTTTGCCAACGCTATGTGCTCACCTCACGTCTCTGTGTCATATTTTGGTAATTCTCATCAATATTTCATGTTATTATATCTGTTATGGTGGTCTGTCATCTCTGATGTTACTACTGTAATTGTTTAGGGGGTACCATGAATTGCACCCATATAAGATGACAAATTTAACTGATAAATGTCATGTGTGTTGACTGCTCCAGTGGTGGCCCATTCCCCTGTCTCTCTCTCTCCTGCCCCTTTGACTTCCCTATTCCCCGAGACACAACAATATTGAAATTAGGCCACTTAATAACTGAACCATGGCCACTAAGTGTTCAAGTGAAAGGAAGAGTTGCCCGTCTCATTAATAGCTGGAAATGGCTTAGTGAGGAAGGAATGCTGCCAAGGCAGGCCAAAAACTAAGCCCTTTACACCGAACAGTCAAGTTGTAGATGCAAAGCAAGAATCCTTAAAGAGAATTAAAAGTGCTACTTCACTGAACACATCAATGATTAGAAAGCAAAACAACCTTGTTGTTGATATGGAGAAAGTTTGGGTGCTCTAGATAAAACATCAGACCAGCCATGGCATTCCCTTAAGGCAAATCCTAATCCAGAACAAGGCCCTAACTCTCTTTAATTCTATGAAGGCTGAGAGTGGTAAGGAAGCAGCAGAAAAAAAAGTTAGAAGCTAGCAGAGGTTGGTCTGTGAGGTTTAAGGAAAGAAGCCATCTCTCCATAACATAAAATTGAAGTGGCAAGTACTGCTGTATAAGCTATAGCAAGTTATCCAGAAAATCTACCGGAAATAAAATAAAGATTAAACAGCAGATCTGGGATTGAAAACCAAATCTAATTTCAAAACCAATACTCTGATAGACCAGGCTGCCTCACATCTGAAAACAAACTTAAGTGAAAGAAGAAAAAGTGTGAGTCTCCATATTTGTGTCGTAAGTTTTACTAGCTCATACTCTAACAAAATGACTTCTATAAGTATATTTATCAGAAATATGTTTCATTTGCATCCACAACCAATCAGTACCTTATGAAAATATTGCATTGTCCCAGCAATAATTATGAAGATGTACTCTTCGTAAGTTATAATGCAAATATATTTTTAAAACAAAATTCTGCATTTTTCAAATAATACTAATACCAAGTAAGAACTGATATAATCATGAAATAGAGATGAGAACTAATAAGCCACATGAAAGCTGACTTCACAGATTCTACCATGTCACTTACTTAATTCACCTTCAGAAACAAAAGAATCATAAAGAACCCGAGCAAGATGCGTCTTCTTTCACAGGGCTTCCACATTAAGAAATCAAACAGCCATCCAGATTCTTAGAAACCCGATCTGGGACAGTGACCCTATAGTGACAGTGCTCAGCACTGCCTCTTGAGCCTGCCAGTCTGTTATCCGTACTGTGCTAGGAACATAAAAGGCTGGAATTTTGCCCACAAAACACAGGAAGGCTCTTCTGGTAGCCCATAATAGACTAGGTTATTTGAACCAACCTTCCTACTGAAAACAAATTAAAAAGCTGGATATAACATTATTTTGAAAGTATCCAAGAGTTGGTAAGATGTTAAGACCAAAATTAAGCAAACACAGTAAAGCAGAAGTAAGCATAAAACAGAACTTTGTTTTACACGACTCAAACAGTGAGGGGAACAGAAACTGAAGCCCATGGACCTTCTGACAGAAATGTGAAGAGAGACTCAGAAGTAAAGGAAACACCAAAGGCTCCACTCTCGCGGTGAAAGTAAATTAGAGGTGAGCAGGTCTCGTGTGGATTTGCAACCCTGGCTGTACTGCCTGAATGGCTGGCTCAGTTCATCTCCAACTCCGAATCTGGTTTGGGCGGGGTCCAGACTAGAGGTGCCTTAAGAGGTCCAGCTAAAACAGGTACAAATGTTCTCTAGAAAAAGACACTTTCACCTGAGGCTTCAACTGATTTCTACAAACTTACCAAATACAACCAGCAGCAAAGGAAGATAACAAAGCAAATAAGGAAAGAACGGACCAGCAGAAAACGGCAGACTCACAGGACTTCAGGCACTGAAATAACCCAACAGACCTTTTAAGTAATGCCTTTAACACTTAAAGAAACAAAGACAAGCTTGAAGGTTAAAACCAAAATAACAGATTTGACAAAAACCATATACACTTATATAACGAAAAGCAAGAAATTTTAAACACTGGAGTTGAATGGATTTGTATACATTCTGGATTGTATTTTACAACAGAAAAAGGACATTAGTGGAAAACCTAGTGAAGTCTGAATAAAAATCTGTAGTACAATTAATAGTGTGGTATGAATGTTTATTTCTTAGTTTTGACAAATGCACCATGTTATGTAAGATGTCAACATTGGATATTACCATTAAAGCCAGATGAACAGTAAATAGGAACAATCTCTTCTTTTTGTGTAACATTTTTATAGATCTAAAATTTTCCAAGTTTTGAAATTTATTAACCAAAAACGGGAGGCTGCATCCGTGAAGTATGTAGAATGCTGAAGGAATACTGCTCCCAACCCTACAGCAATAACACTGACAATCTGTAGGCTCATGACTTTTCTTGGACCCTTCAGAGAGTTGAAAGGTTAAAAGGCAACCAACTAACCCAAAAGCCTAAGGAAAGACAGAAAACTCAAAGGTGAAACAAGATGCAAGCACTTGTTTACCTGAGGGCCAATGCTAACAGATGCCAGCAAAAAAGAATTTGGCTAAAAATTTTAACAATTTTGCAGAAAGCCACGTATAAGCCAGTGGAACAGAAGAACCCCTGGGCTACAGACAAGGAAAATGTACCACAATTCACAGGCTCTACCCACAGACTTTCTGTGTACTCAAAAGAAAAAGAAAGAAAAGAAAAAGGAAAACATACTGGAGTCAGGGAAGACTGGATGTAGGCTTGTGGGAGGGGCAGCAGCCCTACGGGCAGGGCTCGGGGCCCAGCCCAGATCTTCCCTCTATTCTTCCTACGAAACAGCAGCCTTAAATTGATGAACAGGGGCAACGAAACCCTGCTTTCCATGTGAGGCTGGGGGATGAGAACAGGGGGAAAGACTCTCTATAGAAGGCAGGAATACATCCTGGGCACAGACTTCCAGCCAGGAGCAAGGCAAGGTCAGAGAAGGTTCCACCCCCGAGATGCTCTTGAAGAATCAAAAGACACTTCCCTTCCTTCCCCTTCTACCACCAAACTAACGAGTTCAGTAACAAGTGTCAGAGAAGGACAGTGGGGAAAGGCACAGAGAGGAGAGCCAGTCTGAGGTGCCGTGTGAAAACGCTGAGTGTGAAACAGACAGCGGGGAAAAGCTCTAGCGGGAGGACACCTCCCACCTACACACACAGTCATGAGTGCTACAGAAACCTGAAGTCTGTGAGAAAAAGTACAGTCGCAGAACCCAAATCCAGTGCAGCTCCTGAGTGGACTGACTCAACGCCTCAACACTAAAGCCTGAGCAAAAAGACAAGTCTATTCATGTCCAGGTTTCCAGACAACTTGCCTCCATCTCTACTGTCTTACAAAAGAGGCCCAGCTTTCAGCAAAATGACAAAGGCAAGATAAAGCACAGTCTGAAGAGACAAAGCAATCAAAATTTCCAGACTCAGATATGGCCCAAATGTTGGAATTATCAAGCAGGTAATTTAAGATAACTGCAAGTGTAATACAATGATAAAGGTTCAAGTGAAAAAGTGAGCAAGCTTTACGATAAGATAGATATTCTCAGCACAGAGATGGAAACTATGAACCAATCAAAGGGAAATTCAAGGAACGAAACACACAGTAACAGAGATGAAGAGTGCCTTCAACTGGCTCATCAGTAGACTCAACAAAGCCAAAGGAAGAATCCGTGAACTTGAAGATGGGTCAACAGAAATTATCCAAACTATAACGCCAAAAGAAAAAAGGGAGGGAGGCATAAAACAACACAAAAACAAATAATGCATCCAAGAACTAAAGAACAGCAACAAATGAGCCAACACAAACATAACTGGAGAAGAAAAAATAGAGTAGGAATAATATTTAAAGCAATAAGAGCAAAGAAATTTCCAAAATTAATAACAGTCACCAAATCATAAATCCAGGCTCAGAGGACCAATCAAGGTCAATTTTTTTTAATGACACTCAGATATATGATACTTAAACTGCTGCAAACCATAAACAAGGAGAGAAACTCATGAAGGCAGCTAGAGAAACAGAGACACATGGCAAGTGTGCAGAGCTGATTTTCTCAGTCCTAGCGCTATTGACAGCTATATTTATGGGGCCAAAAAAGCAAGGGGCCACTGTGTGTAAAACACCAACATTCACCCAAGAGGTGGCTTTGTTTGCTTCATACACACAATTTCCATAGCAGGACACAGAAGAAACGCCACAGCAGTCATCTGTGGCTGGGTGACTGGACAGCCGGGAAAGAAGTGCGATGGACGTTTTAAGGTATAAACTCATGATTGTTAAATTTTAATGTTTTGTGGAAGGTTGCTAAACATATTACCAACCCATTCTGTCTTTTGGAGATCTGCATACAATGCCACAATTCTGCCCAAATTCACCACACTGTTTCAGACTAACCAGACCCTTAGGAGACACCAAGCTTCGTTCTCAAGGCTGAGCTATAACAGGATAAAGGGTTACCATTTCATCTTATTCCATTCTGCTTCTGTCACCCCACACATGCTCAGAATAGGATGCAATGTGCTAATGTAAAGACTCCTAGAAGAGGCATGTGAATAAACAATGCTCACACCGGGCGCTTAACCATGCTGACCGTAAAGAACTCTTCCTTCACCATGAGCTCCAACGGCTGCCCAGGACCCCCGGTGAAGGGAGGGCAAGAGGAGAGGAGGGAAGACGGAGGGAGGGAGCAAGAGAGGAAAGGGAAAGCCTGTGCACAGGAGCTAAGCTGCTGAGCACATGCTACGCACTGAAAGAGAAAGCCCAAGTAGTCACATGCTCACGGTGCTTTGTCTTAGGAGGGAACCACGGGAAAAGCCATAGGCAGCAATCAGCATTCTACACATAGCAGACTGAACTCCCCCCACTTTTGTAGAACAAAGTTTTATAAAATGTTATTTACACTGAATGATTTTACATTTGTAGATATTCACCCTTTTTTGGTTTTTTTTCTGTATATGTAAGACATTCCAAATTTACACGGACAAAAAACAGTTGCTGCTTCTAAGACTAAATCTGATATTAAAGAAGACAAGATGAGCTCTTAAAGTACTTAAATGTCAGGTTAAAATGCAGTTAGTCCTGTTTATAGACTGTGAAAGACACCAAATGTTCTCTTTATTCCTCTTCACACTGACCAGCAGAGGACCTCGTTGTTTACAGCAATCTTTCTGACGGCTGAAAAACCTGCTTACCTCCATTTTAAAGGTTTCTGTTACCTCAGCATAACTCTGAATTAGTAAGGAGACATGGGAAAATACATTTGCAAAGCAATTCTTCGATTTAATTTACTTCTTAAATGTAGAAACTGAGAGTTGGTAAGAAGAACAGAAGTGGGCAGGCGCTTACTGGAGTTCCTGCGTTCACGTAGCTCTGCAGCTTCTTTCTCATCTCTTTCTCATTAAATTTGGCACTTCGCTTGACATAGATTCCTCCATGCTGCCACAACATAAATGGGAGAAAGAAGGGTTTACTTTTAAAATAACGATTGGCCGCAGTCATCAAAAAGGCAACTTTTCTTGCAAAAAGTACAGAATACAAACTACCTTTCAGAATTTAATCTATATTTAGTATCTTCAAATATTAGCTTCTAAAGAACGCTCAGCTGAAAACTACCTGGTCTCAACATAATTCAAGAAAACTGCATGTGACACTGTACTGGGAAATAAATAAACTTTATTTTTGTTGGCAGTTAAAATGAAAATGCTTTCTTTCTTAAATATACATTTTTTAAATAAAAAATGTGATCAATCAGAGGGATTTAACTCCCAACTTTTCCACTCATTTATTATGGTGTCACTAAAAAGTGTCCTTAAAATGTCAATACTCATGGTCTTTAGGTATATTTTTAGAAATCTATCCTGCTACAGATATTTATGTGGCACTGTTACGGACACAACTGTGTTCCCCAAAGTTGGTCTAGTAAAGCTCTAATAGCTCCCACTGTGACTGTATTCAGAGAGGGACTTAGAGATGGTAATAAAAGTTAAAAAAGGGCCTAAGAGTGGGGCCTTAAAAGACTTTGTAGAAGAATCAGTCATCTAGTGTGACTAGTCCTTGTAAGAAGAGGAAGCAGTGCCAGGGCTGCATTGGGCACAGGGAGAAAACCACATGAGGACACGGGAAGAAGGCTGGCCGCTGCCTGCAAGTCGGAGAGAGAGGCTTGGGGAGACGAACCCTGCCCACACCTTATCTTTGATGTCTAGCCTCCAGAACTGGAGAAATAAGTTTCTTCATTCTAAGCACTTTATATATCGCTCACTATTTTTAAAATAGCATATAGATGACTAATTACTGTTAACAATAGTTTCTTAACATAATTGTGTATCAAATTCTATGCCTTTAAATTTCCTATTTGTTTGATCTTTGTACATTTCCATTTTTACTCTTTCATCTACTTTTACTGCAGCTGGCCCTTCATTTCCATGTGTTTGACATCTGCAGATTCAACAACCACAGATCAAAATATGTGAACAAGTGAAAATAATATAATAAAATAATACAAGTAAAAAAATAAAGTATAACAACCATTTACATGGCATTTATAATGTATTGGATATTATAAGTAAACTAGAGATGACTTAAAGTAGTCCATAGGTTATATGCAAACACTACGCCATTCTATGTAAGGATCTTGAGCATTGCAGATTTCGGTCTGTGGTGGTCCTAAAACCAGTCCCCATAGATGCTGAAGGAAAGTATATGGATCATTAGACAGGTATATAAATACATATCACTAAAAATGCCAATTAAAATTACTTCAGTTGAGAATAAACTATTAAACCCATTTTAAAAACCACACATTTACATTAAGTACATGTTAAATTTTAAAATATAAAATAGGACTGAGTGTGGCAGCTCACACCTATCATCTCAGCCTTTTGGGAAGATGAAGCAAGCAGACTGTTGGAGTCCAAGACCAGCCTGGGCAACACAGTGAGACCCCATCTCTACAAAAAATACACAATGTAGTCGAGCATGGTGGTGGGCACTCACAGTGCCAACTACTTGGGAGGCTGAGACAGGAGGTTCAGTTGGGCCCCAGAGGTAAAGGCTGCAGTGAGCTGTGTTCACACCACTGCACTCAGCTTGGGCAACAAAGTGAGATGTCTCCTCCTCCCCCAACCCCCCAAAATTATAGACTACGTATATAGAGATAAAAGCATGGAAACAAGTTACCTGAGAAAAATAACACCCATACAACGGCAGCCATTTTAACCCATCTTTCAGCACGTAGCGCACATGTCCAAGCGCATTCTGCCTGATGGCCAAGATGTCGGCAACAATCCAGTCAACTGCAGAGACAGGACCCCGTGAGTGCATACATGAGCTCTTCACAGGTTGTACTGGGAATATGCTTTGAGAGTACTGTGATTAGGATCTTTACAATTTCTTTAAATCAACCCCAGATATTTAAAAAATATAAATATTCTGTTGAGTTTTGTTTTGTTTTGTATTTCTTGAAAGGGTTTTAGTTTGAAGATAAAACATAGTCACAAAAGACCTAAAGAATCAGCAGCATCATGTATAGGGAATAAAATGAGCTTCTCTAATTCCTAAAGCTTAGAAAAACAATGATATTTTTAATGAGAAAGGGGAAATTATAAACAAAAAAATGGCCAAATGAAACTGTGAACTGCACCTAAATATTGTGTGTGTGTATATATGTATGTTCAGCAAAAGGCAAGGACATTTTGTCTTTACTAATGAGTTTTTAGAACTTGAGACTAGGTTAGGATGGCAATCAAACAAAGGTCTCACATGCCTTACTACCGTGCTGGGTGGATACATGTGTTCCTTATGTAACCAAGTAAAATTATCCCAGGCCGCTAATAACTATAGTTATATAAATATGTTATTAACAGAGGGTTGCAAAAACAAGGGTAAGATGATATGAGTTGGTAACAGTAGCAACAAAAAACCTCCTAGAAGTTGGGTTGTTAGTTGAGCTTTGAAAAAGAATTCCCAGCACAGAGTGGTCCTTGCCAAATTAAACAAACAGGAAGCAGCAAAGTGGGTACAGAAGATGGGAAACAGAGGACACGTTTTAATGAGGAAATTAAGTGAAATTAACAGGACACATGATAAAGGTCTTAAGAACCACAGAAACTTGGATTTGAAAGTAAATGGCCACAAACTATCTCTTGATGAGAAAGAAAACATACAAAAATGAAACCTAAGGGAGACTTCTCTAATACACAGATGAGCTCAATGATAGGATACTCGAAGAGAAAATTGTTAAGAGTCTGTGAAACGAACAGTCCTAGCATCACCATGTGCTCAGGCCACAAAAATGAGAACAAAAGGAGTGAATCAGAGGAGGGAAATATTAAAAAAACAAACAAACAAAAAACCTGTAGAAAATAAAAGGTGAGGAGTTAAAGGAATTACAATAAAGTTTTAGCCAAAGAGGACATTTTTCCCACAGATTACAGGATGATCAGCTCTCAGCTACGTGAAATCTATTAGACAATGCACCATACTAGACAGAATATCCCAAAGAAAATTTAGCCAGTTTATGAAACTTTTGTTACGGCTCCCTATAAGTAGAATGTTGCTTGCAAAGATTCTTCCCCATAGTGTATGATCCCAGAGACAGACACAATCTGTGTTATGGGGTTGAGATGCCTACGCTATTTGGCTATCAATGATCACTTTTCTGTTAAGTATGTAACTTTCTGTTTAAGACCTTTCCCTAGCTCCTCCTAATTTAGATCAAAGAAATAACTGATAGACATATTTCTTTCTAGTCATGCCTTAGAAACCATATAATCAACCCTGTTATAACTGTACCAAATACAAAAATCAACAGACAATAAATTCTTAGAACTAATTCTGTATGGTTCTGTATGGTTCCAAGGCCAAAGTACATCTTAGAAATATAGTTGGGGTACAAAGCTAAAAACCAGATTTAGCATCTTTTCCTGCAACAATTATTTTTTAAAATTTGGAGGAATTTTAAAAATGCATTTTATTTTTTAAAAATGGTTTTGGTTATTTACAGCCTGAGATGCACCTCCCAAGAATTTTTAAGAGAAAATGTAAAATTTCCAAAATACATCATGTTCGTAATAAGCTGCCCTGGGCTATGCCCTTACATTTGAAAATTTTAGTGGAAACATTTAAGACCTAGCTTAAGTAGTCAAAACATAGAAGCTTCGTGTCACCAATATTTGCTATGGAATTATCTTTATTTCTTGTTTATTCTCAGCTATGTTTCAGATAGGATTACACTAGATTACAGATACTTTCTGACTATCCAAGTTATAGCTGAGATGATATTGCTTTGATATAACTATTCACATTTTATGTTCTAGCATAATTTAACTAAGATAGCAATAAATTTGGCTAGTGAGACTCTTCCATGGCAATCCAGCCAAAGCAGTGTCATTGTTGCCATTAACTTGGAGGAGAGGAGTGGAAAGCAGTTAGGGGCAGGAAGTCTAATTTCCTCACCCCTATCTTCATGTTAGAGCAGTTCCTAACTGATGAGGACACTGTGGAGTCTAAGAGATACTGCACATGCAGCACTTCCCCACCACGGATCTAGCGCTATGCTAATGGCTAGCTACAACTGTCATCACAACCACTTTTAAATGCCAGGTCCTCCACCAGACTAGGCGATAGCCTCTGTAGAGTGCCTAAAAGGAGGTATCACTCACACTTTACCAACAAGGCTCTGAGAGAGAAGTAATCTGCCCACTGACAACCAGCCTATTGCAGAACAGCATTTCTGCAACACTGAACAGGAACCTAGGTCTCTCTGACTCCAAAGTTCATGCCTCTTTGTAACACTCTACTCACTATGCATGCTGTTCCACAAGAAAAGTGACATGTAAGCCAAGAAAAGGGAACATTTCATGAAATTAAAATGGCAAATAGGTCGAGTGTGGTGGCTCATCCCTGTAATCTCAGCACTTTGGGAGGCCGAGGTGGGCAGATCACCTGATGTCAGGGGTTCAAGACCAGACTGATCCACATGGTAAAACCCCATCTCTACCCAAAATGCAAAATTAGCCTGACTTGGCGGTGGGCACCTGTAATCCCAGCTACTCAGGAGGCTGAGGCAGGAGAACCACTTGAACCTGGGAGGCAGAGGTTGCAGTGAGCTGAGATCACACCACTGCACTCCAGCCTGGGGGTGACAGTGCAAGACTCCATCTCAAAAAAAAAAAAAAAAAAAAAAGGCAAATCGCATCAAAAGTAGGTATGTGAAGGATGAGGGAAAGGAGTAACAGCCACTACATCCTGCTGATTCTGGAGAGAAATAAGTTCACAGAGACAGAATGAGAGACAAGGATGTGCCAAGCGAAAACATGGGAGGAGAGAGACTAATTTAAGTGTTAATTCTTTTGAACGCTAGGCCAGGAAACTCATTTATTCTGGCAAGCCTGGCAGAAGACAAACTAGAAAGTCTAAGCAGAACAGTAGTCTTTGAAATGTTCTTTCTGCTAATTACATTTTCAGAGATACTCCGTTGTGACTCCTAACATCTCCAAAGGGTTTTAAAAGCGTACCTAAACATGATCGGACAATGAACCATGTCTATGGCTAGGCTTTACGGGTCTCTGATACCCTAAAACTGCATGCAAAGTTTTATATGCACATTTTTTCCTGGGAAAAGGCTCCATCATATACTGACTAAAGCCTGTAATTCTAAAGAAACTTAAAATCACTCCCCTGCTATTTGCCCAAGTTATGGAATTTTAAAAGCCTTTCAAAAAGCAGCCTTCCCAAATCCTGCTGGTATCAGGATCTGGTGCCAGAGCCATGAAGGAAAGTCACAGGCACTTGGAACTAGTGGGAAGGGAAGGGGAGTGGGTCTCTAATCTGATCAATGAAACTCAGGTCAGTATGGTCTCAGTATGAAGATGATCCTTCCCATACGACTTTCTAGTCCCAAATATAAGTAGAATTGTGTTTTTTAATCTGCTGCTTTTTGACAGATGTTTTCTAGAAGTCCTCAGTCTGAAGGAATATATATAAAAGCCAACATGTAGCGAGCACACAAATCAACAGGAATTTTATTAGAAGTAGCACTGGTGGGTCGAAGTGTATATACATTTTATATTCCTGATTGATGGGCTGCAGAAAGCTTTTATTAGTGTGTGGGTGCTCATCTCTTTACCAATGTCTGCACTTCCTTTGCTTCTTCTAATGTATTTGGTTTAATTCTAGTTTGCTATTGTTCTATCAGAGGAATTGCAGAAGACTGGTCTTCAAAATAGTGCAGTATATACTTTGGATTAAGATATTTGTAAAAACCTTTTAAAGTAAGTCTCAAGAATTTGCAAAAACAGTACATTGAATCCTATGACCCTTTCAGCAATATTTATCATTATCAGCAACACTTGCAGGAATGTTCAGAGAACTCACTCCACAAGTCACTACTAGAGGGTTCTGTTAATAAAGCAGAGTTTATACTGAAACCTGGACAAAGAAAAGTTGGCAGGGAAACTAACCAAGGAATTTTAAGAGAATCCTGTTAAACAGAAAGACAACGCTACGTGAAATTAACGCTGGATCAATATAAAGGGAGTGCAGGAGAATCAAAGCTATCAAGAGCCATTTCCTGTGCTGGGACCGCAGATCCTTTTTATTTGATACTGAAACCCTGGGAGAAACATCCATCAACAGCAGGACAGGAACAGCAGAACGGTGTTAGAAGTAAAACGGCCAATGTGTCTGCACGGGCCAGAGTTCTCAGCAGCACTGATGGGTGGCTGACTGTTTTGCTATTTTTGCCTAGAGTGAAACGTAATTAGATAAAATAGCCTGAACAAGTCATGTAATAAAATTGGGGAAAATACACAGATACATGAAAATTCCTATCAACCCCTTGCTGCTTCAACTCTTGTCCTATAAATCTGAATGTAATAATTAACTCACTAAAGTGAGAAAAATGCATTTTAACTTCCTTTACTTTCTATCCCTCATCTATGCTATAAGTACTAATAAAAACCACAAAATCATGAAGAAACAGCCGACAGAAAGAAAATAAAGAAAAGCCACAGGCATAAGTGATTTTCCCTTGAGTTCTATATTGATTAGGCTGTTTTTAGCTTTGAGCTTCTAGGTATTATATTTTTTAAAATAATAAAAATGGAATTTAGGAAGTACACATCAAAAGTAGCTACAGGTTTGAAAACATAAGAAGTGGGATTTTGGGGGGATCTGAATTATTTGGAGAATTAAAAAGTACCTTACCCAATGACAATTTCTTGATTCTGCTACTGTACTACCATTATATTAAGATGTCACCTTTGGGAAAAATATTGCTGAAAGGGTCAAAGGA